CTTTTTCTCTGTATTGTATTCAGAGACAGAATGACAGAAAAGAAAGGTTCAGAGCAGACTTCCTCAATCTATTTGATTTCTTCTTGGCATCCTGACCCAGTGTCTCTTCCCACCCCCCACCTGGTTCTCCACAGGGCTCCACTGGCTGCAGTAGGCTGCAGTGTGGGGTGACACTCCTAGACTCCTAAGGACACCCTCCCTGTCTATTCAAAATGTTTACAGGTGATCAAGGCCTGACCTTTAACCCAAAAGATTATGTCCTGGGACTGTCTTCAAGCTTAAACGGGGCATTATGTGTCACATACAGGTTCACCTCATCAGCCTCTTCACAGTCTGCTTCTGGGCCCTCCCCCTGGTCCCCATGTGTCATTCCTCAAGTCTCAGGGTTGGCAGCTCTATCAGTTTGACTCCTAGTGCCTACTTCAGTGACTCACAGATGCCTGTAACTTTAGGTCTCAGGAGTTGACATCCGCTTCTGGCCTCTGTGAGTCCCTATGCAAGCATGCACCCCCACATACATGCACATACATACACAAAATATAAAAAAAAAATGTCTTTTTTAAAGACAGATTTAGGGTTGTTTGTCCCACCCATTTCATGATGACAGCTTTCCTTGGAAATTCTTTTTTTTTTTTTTTTTTTTTTTTAAAAAAAATAAGGGTTTAAGGGAATTATTAAAGGGTATTGGTCTTCAAAAGACTTAATCTATAGATCTATAGATATCATAGAAGAAGCAAGAAAAGGGAATGATAGCCATCACTAGAAAGCAGTTATCTCTCACACCTGGAGCTCATGACTTCAGATTCATTCCAAGGGGCACTTGGACAAGGACACCTCAGGAATGGCCTCAGTGGGTATGGACGCGCACGCTGCTCCCAAGTTGGCAGCTGGAGTTAGTTCATTCCTGGAAAGTGAAAAGAGAGCTGGCAGAGCCTTTGTTTTCTTATCTTCAAAAGAGGCTATTGTGATGGTGCAGTCATTTGAACTGAAATGAAATATTTTAAGGGAGTTTGGGTTGAAAATCATGGGGTGAATTATCTGAAAGCCAACATTCTCTGAAGCAACACATGGAAAATAATATTGTGACATCCCTTAAAAGATTGAACGTTTCTCCAGACCACCTCTCGTCCATCCATCACTCTTTCAATTCTTTGATTTTGTTTTTTTTATTTTGCATGGGCTATGCTATTTGGTTGTTGTGATTAAAAGTATTTAAGGCATTCTTTTACATCTTGTATATATATTTCATTTGAGTCATAATACTCAGTCTTTCTATATAAAAATAGTGTACTGGTCAGATGTATAAACACTTCTGAACATAAGCTGGTGTTGCAGAATGCCCAGGAAATGGACATGGAACGTCCTCTCCAGTCATATTTTTAACACTTCTGGAGAGTTGTCCTGGGGACAGCCTGTGAACTCAGAATGCATAGAACCCTAGAGTTCTGCTTGGTTTAGTTTTAAATTAACCTCTCATGGGTGCACACAATGGGTTTCAGCTGCAGATGTGTTCAGAGCTCATGGTTCTTTTCACTGAGTGCCAAGGCCATTGAGTTGGCATGTGTTGTCTGAATTCTCCTAATACAGATGATATGTGCTTTCTTCCATTTATCAGGAAAGGATTCTGTCTGGACCAGTGTTGCAGTGTGAGGCTAGTAGCTTCCACTTATGATAGTGAACTCAGGGCTGTTGCTGTAGCCAGCATTAGAAAATACTTGGGTCATTGCACCCTCTAGCAGGCAGAGATCTGGACAATTCTGATTATGTTTAACTTAAAAGACATCTACTTCTTGTGCTGTGCTTGGCTTGGCAGTGTTGCCATTAGGAACAGATCTCACCATTGGACACCTTGTACCTCAGTTCTCATTTTGTGGAAGAACTAACAATGCTGCTTGCTTGTTTCTGTACAGTCAAGGATTGTCTGAGTGCACCAGCTCCTCAGCTAGCTCAGGACTAAGTGAAATTAGCTTTCAGCATCTCTTCTTGAATACCTTGTTAGTTACTTTTCTATTGCTGTGATAAAATATCATGACCAAGGAACTTACAGAAAGAAGTTAATTTGGGCTTATTGGCTTCAAAGGGATCATGCTGCAGCATAGGCATGGCAGGAAGAAGCTGAGTGCTCACATCTTCAAACCATATGCATGAAGCAGAGAGAACAAACCGGGGCAAGACTTTACAATACTCAAAGCCTAGTGATATACTTTTATCAAGGAGGACATACCTCCTAAATCCCCAAACAGTGCTACTAACTGGCATCAAATGTTCAAATATCAGAGCCTATGTGGGACATTCTCATTTAAACTACTGTGTTCTACTCCCTGGCCCCCGCCCCCCAGGCTTACAGCCATATGATGATACAAAATACATTTAGTCCAACTTCAAAAGTTCTCACAGTCTTTCGTATTCTGAAAGCCCAAAGTCTCCAGAGACTCTAGGCAAGTATAACCCCCTGTAAAATCAAGACAGGTTATGTATTTCCAATATATAATGGCATAGAATAGACACCACCATTCCAGAAGGAAGAAATAATGGCACAGTCAAGAAATCCTAAACCAAAACAAGACTGAAACCCATCGGCGCAAATGCTGAATCCTCTAGCTCCATGTCCATGTCTGGGGTTTTCATTTCATAGGACTCAAATGGCTCTGCCCCTCCAGCTTTGCTGCCTGTGATGTGTATCTCTTCCTAGGACTGGTTCTACTTCCTGTGTGCAGCTTTCCTTGGCAGATACCTCATGACTGGCATCTCCATCTCCAACATCTTGCAGTCTCTCTCCACTGTTAACAGATTTCACATTCACAGCTTCTCGGAGTGGCATCTCATAGCCTCTTGCCCTCTCGAAGCAGCCATGTAGGGATTTCCTCACCACACATTGCCCTCAGTGACTCTCTGAAACTGAAGGAAGACTACAACCCTTTCCCTCTTACATCCTTCATGCCTCTAAAGCCAGTACCACATGGATATCCTTACCTGGTTCAGCATAGCAACACATGTATTCAGTTGTTTTATAGGAGCGGAAAACTCCTTAGACTTTGTTTCACATTTTAGAAGCTTAGCTGCATGTGGTCTTGACTGAGGGCATCCTTCCCTTCGTTTCTTTGCAGACCATGGGGCCTGTCCTTATTTGCTACAGCCCCTCTTGTAGCATAAGTCTTGACTAGTGGAGACAGCATGATGCTTCTTAGCTCTGTTTCTTTCCACAATATACATGTTCTATTGCTCTCTGCCCCGCTTGTTCTTCTTCCTTGTAGACTACATAAGAGTTGTCAGTAACAACCATGCTACAGATGCAATGTTATCCTGTCTTGAAATTTCCTCCCCCAAAGAAATTAGTCCAATTACTTTTAAATTTAGCCTCAGGCAGGTTCTAGGGACAAGGGCAGACAGATTCTTTCCCAGAATATCACAAGAACATTCTCTAGCCCAGTTCCTAATACTGTTCCCCTCTGAAGCCTCTTGAGCTGAGCCGCTGCTGTCCTCACTGCTCTCACCACTCCTTCCTGTCTTCTGGGCTCCTACTAGGATGGCTCTTCTTAGAGCAGTCAGTCACCTCTCCAGCTCAAAGTTCCAAAGTCTTCCACATTCCTCTACATAGCAACCTGGCCAGATTCTTCACAGCAACAGCCCAGACTCAGTCACAGACTTCGGGATTAGTTACTTTTCTGTTGCTGTGATGAAATGCCATGACCAAGGGAACATCTAGAAGAAATTTTATTTGGGTTTATAGTGCCAGAGGGATAAGAGTCCATCATGGCAGGGAGGCATTGCAGTAGGCAGGCATGATGGCAGGAACTGGAAACTGAGAGCTCATATCTTCAAAAGCAAGCATGATGCAGAGAGAACAAGCAGGAAGGTAGGCAAGGCTTTGGCCACACCTCCTAACACCTACACCTCAAATAATGCCACCAACTATGGATCAGTTATTCAAATACCAGAGCCTCTGGGGCACAGTGTCATTTAAGCCACTACAGATGCTCTCCGAAAATAATCAGTGTTTAAACTGTCCTTAGTGATTGTCCCACCATGCTTTGCTTTCATTGTTGTCTACCCATCCTGTGCTTCTTGGTTTTGTTTTGTTTTGTTTTTTAATTCTCAGTAAGGAGAGGTGTAGATGTTTTTTCTCATGACTCTCTTTGTTCAGTATCCTTTTCACACATCTAAAGAACACTTGCCGCAAACTGCAGGACACCAAAAGGCTTCCTTGCCTTTTTCTTTTTTAAAACCATTTCTGTTTCATGTTTTACTGTTATTAGTGTCTCAAAGGATAGCAGTGGCATCACTTTCCCATAAAAGACAGTATTATTTCTAGAAGTGTTTTACGTGTCCATCCAGGAAGGTGGCTCATCTCTTTAAGATCTGCTTTCATAAAAGAATCTCATATTCCCAGCAAGCTCCTGGGTTATACCACATGGGAAGTAGAGCCCCAGGAGCCTGGTGAGGGTAGCTCTGACTCTGACTCCCAAGCTGGTGTCTTGTATTTTTTGAGGGAGGGTCTTACTTATTTCTCTAGATTGGATTCTGGTGTGCACAGCCCGGTCTTGTGAAGTGGTTTGCTTTGTTCCTCAGAAGTCTCTCTGTAAGCCGAGCTTATTTCCATGTACCTGTTCCTCTAGAGTTTGTACATTTGAGACCAGTAACAACCAAACCACCTTTTTTTTCATCTGCAAGATAAGAAAATTACTTTTCCACCGTCATTCCCCTGTGCATTCCGTCACCAATATCACTCCTGAGTTCTCACGTTCTTGTGGTTTTGTTGTCTCTCACTGGTTCCTGGGTGTTGTGTAACGTGTCTGGGGCCAGCTATGACATGGAAGATTGACAGTGGTAGTGCCCTGACAAGAGCTGTCCCCGTTGCATCCCAACTAACCAAAATACCCCAAATATAATTAGCCTTACTCTAAATTACTAAATCATTTAGGTCCGTGCCTTGGTCTTATGCACATACCTCAGGTTTTCAAAAAAAAAAAAAAATGTTTTTCTTTTCTTTTAAATTATAGCATGCTGGACTATGATACAGAGAACTTGAACTCTGAAGAAATCTACAGCTCTTTGCGTGGAGTTACAGAAGCCATCGAAAAGTTCAGCTTCCGAAGTCAAGAGGACCTGAATGAGCCAATTAAGCGAGATGGCAAGAAAGATTGTGATACTGTGAGTACCCTGGGCCAGTGGACAACTTTGCCAGTTAGGTGGCAGCAGACTGAGTCTTTCCTACATTGAACTCACTCCCTGGTGACAGTGTTCTCTACTCTGGTGCTAAAATAATAGTGTTTTTGGAGGCCTAAGGCAATTCTAAGACACTTCAGAAGAGTAATTCTCTGCTTCTTATCATTTGTCTTGGGCATGTTCTTGCTTGTGTGATATGATAACATGGTGGGTCTGGTGCTGGAGCGATGCTCAGTCAGTAAAGGACTTGCCTTACAAGCATGAGAGCCTGACTTCAGTCCCCAGCACCACATTAAAACTCAGGAGGCAGAGGCAGTTCCAGGACAGCCAGAGCTACACAGAGAAACCCTGTCTCAAAAATCAAAAACTGAAAAAATAATAATAAAACCAAACAAAATCTTGGCACGGTGGAATGTATCTGAGTGTCTGAAAGACCAGCTCTAGGGAACCAAAGATGCTATAGCAGTGGGTTCTCAACCTGTGGGTTGCAGCCTCTTTGGGGGTTGAGTGATCCTTTCACAGGGGTCGCCCGAGACCATTAGAAAACACAGATATTTACATTATGAGTCATAACAGCAACATTACAGTTATGAAATAGCAACAAACTAATTTTATGGTTGGGGTGTCACTACGATGTGAGGAACTGTATTAAAGTGTTACAGCATTAGGAAGGTTGAGAACCACTGTTCTAGGGGAAAAGGTGTTAACAGGGGTCAGAAGTCTCCTAGGCTCTTGAGACAGATGACGTGATCTGGTGAGGTTGTAATGTCTGAGAAGGAGAACACAGTGAGCAAGTGCAGTGACCTGTTGAGGACATTGTGAATCCAGCTGTGAGTATGTGTGGATTGCAGGGCCCATGGATCAACTAAACAAACTTAGAAAATCAGTGTGTTGCGAGTTTAGGTCAGTGACTGAGGCACTGAAGAGTGAGTCTGTAGTAAGAAAAAAGAGTGAAGGAGAAAGTGCCCAGGCACTAGGTAAGGACAGTCCTGAGGAGCCCCAGGTCAGCACAACTGGGAGGATGGGAAGGAGCCAAGGGGTGAGTGAAGTCCTGTGGCACCAGCGATGGAGCTTCAGGGCAAACAATAAGCTTTCCTTGTAGGAAGTCCATGTGAACTAACATGGTACTACCATGTGGAAATGCCCTGTGTGGACACACAGTGTTCTGTTTGGGGTCATTGCAGTGCTTTCTATGTTTTGAAAGTACAAAAATGCCTTGATGAGAATTGAAAAGGGTAAAAATTGACAAGAGAAAGAAAAGATGGTGAAGTCCAAGAAACCTCACATTTCTGAGGACCCGTGAAATGGAAGGGACAGGTGTCAGAGCCACAGTGCCATTGGTGGTCAGGACTACAGTGCCATTGGTGGTTAAGATGTGGGATTTTGATCTGTATGCATACATACAGTACTGGAAATTGAACCCAGAACCTCAAGATGCTAAGCAGGTGCTCTACTCCTGGACCACACACAGCTCTACCCTGATATTTACTCCTATTCTGCTCATCTTCTGGCTGTGTTGTCCATCATACACAGGCCCTCTCTGAAATACAGTCAGTCTTTCATATGCACAGGCTCTTCCTCAATGGAGTCAATCAGATATGCACCAGAATATCCATTTAAAACCCTGTAGTCTAAATGTGTACAGACTATTTTCTTTATTGATGATTGATGTAGGAGGCCCCAGATCAGTATGGGCAGTGCCACCTCTGGGCTGGTGGCCCTGGGTGCTTTAAGAAAGCAGCCCAAACAAGCCATGGGGAAACAGCTAATAAGCAGTGTTCTTCCATGTTATCTGCTTCAGCTCCTATATTCATGTTCCTGCCCTGAGTTCTTACCCTGACTTCTTTTGGTGATGGAGTGTGACCTCAGAGTTGTAAGCTGAAATAAATCCTTTCCTCCCCAAAATTGTTTTTGTCATGTTGCTTTCTCACAGCAACAGTAACCCTAATTAAGACAGAGAAGAAATGGTTTATTTCATCTTATAACTTAGAGTCAATTATTGTGAGAAGCCAAGGCAAGAGAAACAAAAACTAGAGCAGAGACCACAGAAAACACTGTGGATTCCTCCCCATGGCTTTCTTACACAACCCAAGACCTACTCAGGAGTGGCTCCACCCACAGTGGTCTGAGCCCTCCTCAACAGTCATTAAGAAGATGCCTTACAGACACACCCACAGGCCAATCTAATAGAAGCTATCTAAACTGTTCCTTCTTCCGATCACATCTTCCGTGTGATGCTAATTGGTGTCAGGTTGTCAAAAATTAACCAGTACAGACACATTTTCAGCTGAGTGAAAGTCAGAGCCAGTATCTGCACAAGTAGGCCTACTTTGCCAAGGCAGTTCGTAGACACAAATCAGAGCTGGTGGACGATAGTTCACACAAGAAATGGCAATGTTAAAAATGTTGGAAAAGTCCATCCTGAGCAACTACAGAGATACAAGGACCAAGTATCCAGGTTCCAGTCTATTTCAGTAGACATTGTAGCATTGAATGTAAGAGAGATTATAATGCTGTAGTGAGATGCAGGTGCTATGTGAGATTAGTGGGATTGTCTGGACACAAGTGATCATCAACTTTACCAGTAATTTATTCTAAGTAAAGAGCTCAGCAAAAGAAAAGAACTGCCCGAAGTATCACATTTCAGTATTAATCTATAATCTTTTGAAAAAGAATAATTGAGTAAATTTTATTGGTAGTGTGATTGCACATGACAACCACAAAAATTTTATCTACACATGAATTGCTTATGCAGTGAGGAAAACCAAATGTCAATTGTATATATACTGGAAATCTCATCTTTATAAAATCTACAGATAGAGAAGGACAGAAAAGAAATAATATACAAAAAAAGTAAAATTGGAGGGCTGCTAACAGGGTGGCTCAGAGGGTAAAGAACACTTGCTGCTCAATTCAGTCCTTGAAACCCAAAGATGGAAAGAGAACTGACTCCGTGAGGTTGTCCCCTGACCCCCACATTTGTGTATGGTGTACACATACACTCACACACACACACACACACACACACACACACACACACAAAAAAAAATATAAGAGAGTTACAAAGTTACGCATGAATTACCTTCTACTCAGAAAGCTGCTATTGAGGTAGGTCTATACCTTGTTGGTCTGGATTTGTGCAGGTCTGTGCCTATATTTTTTATCCCCTGTATCTTAAATGTAGTATAGCATCTTATTTGTAAGTGTCAATGACAAATGCATTCCAGATCTTCATGAGGTATATGTACAGAGAGTTGCAAGTGTGGGTTCAGACAGGTACCTGCAGACTAGCATTTACAGTAGCATTAGTCATAGTAGCCAAGGCGAATACAACCCCAGTGTGGATCAGCAGGTGCAAGGGTAAAGATGTGACAGACAGTCTTCCAAAGGGAAGAGATCTGACCTGTGCTATAACCTAGATGAACTTTAAATGCATAATGCCAAGTAAAATCAGCCAGTTGCAAAAAGGCTAATATTTTCTTATTTCCTTTACCTAAGATACCTAGCTGAACAGATTAGTAGAGAATAGAATCATGGTTTGTCGGGGCAGGGGAATTGTTATTTATCAGGTGTAGGTTTTGGGAGGATAATAAGAAAGTTTGGGGTGTACCCATATGGTGTTGATGGTTACACAAAATAGTGAATGTATCTCATGTCACTGAACCATGCAGTTATGGATGGTTGGAATGATAGGGTATGTGTATTCACACAACTTTTAAAAATGTATAAACACAAAGTGAGAGTTGTATCTTGTTAGCAGCACAAATACAATTTTGTGGGAGTCACCAGTATGTTCCGGATTCCTGAAAATCATGTCCAGGTTAGGAGATAGGCTACCTGTTTCCAGCACTTAGCCCAGACTTGTCCTCATAGTATTGTCATGTAGGGGCTGAAGAGGCTAATGTGCCCAAGATAAAGGCCAAATACCAGGTCTTGGTTACATTCCTGTCACTGACAGAACACCACGAGCAAACACAGCTTGAGGAGGAAAAGGTTTGTTTGTGCTTACAGTTCCATGTCACAGTCCATCTCTGAGGGAAGATGGGCAGGCACTGTTGCAGAGGCCACAGGGGAGTGCTGCTTACTGACTTGTTCCTCGTGCCCTCCCACATTAATTACCAATTAAGAAAATGCACCATGAGTTTGCCCACAGGCCAGTCTTCTAGGGGCATTTTTTTTTTTCAGCTGAGCTTCCCTTTTCCCAAATGATTCTAGATTATGTCAAGTTGACATAAAACTAGCCATCAGAGCAAGATTATCAAAAGCATGCCAGAGACCTTTGAAAGATAACTGTTAAGACAGACCTAGGAAAAGAAAGTTCAGTACTAGCTATCCAAAGAATGGAGGAGTGATTTGTGGCCTGGGAGATACTTCCTGTGTCTCAAGGCTAGAGGTAATTTTGAGATAATCCTGCTAACTCTCATTATTATCTCAAAACCTCTACAAATCAAGGGGCTGATTTATAGATATTTAGACTGCTTTAGGCTCTGAGCGTTGCTTGAGTTTTCTCCACGGAGGTATTATTAAGGTGTCATTGAGAAGCCTCTACTGTTGGCAGTGGAGCCAGAGGCCACAGTGGTCTTGAAGCAGGCTTCTCAAGAATGGACAGTGAAGGACTCCTCCATTTCCAAGGAGCTCTTCAGGCTGCATGGTAGTGATCCATCAGAAAACTCATGAGTGAATCACCAAAAAAACAAAGAAAAACAGGTTAAACACACACACACACACACACACACACTTTGTAAAAGTTTTTAAATTAAATTAATATCAGTAGCCGTTCTTTTGTCAGTAGCCAGCCTGCAAATGGAAATCCCTGGTCCCTCTAAGATTCCTAAGCATCAAAGAAAAAGTATGGCCAGGGTATGGTAGCACATGCCTTTAATCCTAGCAATGGGAAGACAGCTAGCTATGTGGATCTCTGAGTTTCAGGCCAGCCAGAACTACATAGTGAGACCCTGTGAAAGAAAGAAAGGTGGAGGGAGGGAAAGAAGAGAGAAGAAGAGGGGGAAGGAAGGAGGGATGGAAAACAGACAATGAACAGATGTGTGGGGATGTCCCAGAATTGACTATGTGCTGTGTTCCAGGTGTCCCGAGATGGGGGAGCAGCCTCACCTGCCACTGAGGGCCGGGGAGGTGGTGAGGTGGAAGGAGGCAGGATGGCTTTGGACAACAAGACCTCCCTGCTCAACACACAACCTCCACGTGCCTTCCCGGGGCCACGAGCACGGGAATATAACCCATATCCCTACTCGGACACCATCAACACCTATGACAAGACAGCTCTGAAGGAGGCGGTGTTTGACGATGACATGGAGCAGCTCCGAGATGGTCTGTCTGCTTGCCCACCCCTTCTGTCACCCCAGCCCTGTGGGCCCTGTCAAACACAAATAGAAACACAGGGTCTGTCCTGGTCAGTCATTTGCTCAGAACTGCTTATTGTGTCCCTGCTATGTGCTTATGCCTGGGAGGTCCCCTGTGAGTAGGAGCCTATTTGGGCTTGCACTCTGTGAGCCTGTAGTCTGTCCACGGAGGCTCTGCTCCTGGGGCTTCCTAGAAGGCTACCTGAGTGGAGTGGTTGACCAGGAGCACAGACATTTCATGCTTGCTCTCTGTGAAGACCTTGGCCCACACTGTCCCAGCTCTTTTAGCCATAAAGGTGAAGTCCCAAAGCAATACACAAGGCTTCCCTCTTCCTTTGGTGTGGGTTTTCCCCAGCTGTGCCCTGCTGTATCAGAGGAAGGAGGCAGGGCATCTAATGGTAGTTACTTAACTACTTCATGCTTGGCACTTCACTAAGAAGCATATGCCCATTAGCTCCTGAGATTAGAGATAGTTGTTCTCATTTTACAGGTTAACAAGTAGATTAAGAAAGATTACAATAACCTGCCCAAAATATAACATAGGGATGTATCCAGGATTTCTTCTGAGTCCCATGTCAAGACCAATATCCAGGGACAGAAAATGTGGCTCAGCGATTGAGTTGTGCCTAGCCCATATGAGGCCCTGGGTTCAATCTACAGGACCAAAGAAAAATCCAAGACCTGTGTCCACTAGCAAGTGACCAGTGAGTGACTATATATTGGTTTGATGGTGTTTGTACCAACAACTTAAGTTTTTCTTTTTCTACCTCACTCATATTCACTAGCTTTGTTCTATTGCAGCTTCATATGACTTTTTTTTTTTTTTCAGCTTGTAGTAAATCTGTTTTGTTTGGATATTTTTTGACTGGAGAAGTATGTAAATTAGAATTATAAATAATTAATACCTGCTTGAATGCCTTCTGGAATCATGAAATACTTGGGCTGTCCTTCCCAGAAGGAAAGCAAGGCACACTTCCTGGCATGATTTCTCTGGCCTGTTGGGTTACAGACTCAGAATGAGCAAACTTTGGAGGGGGCTGCTACATAGGTCAGGGGGCAGGTTTAAGACACAAAAGGAATAGAGGACCCATACTGTGTGGTACTAAGGTTGCAGACAGTTCTCCAGGTGTCTAGAACAGAAACATCAAAGGTCCAAAACCAATCCGGGAACTGTTGTTATTTGCCAAGTCCTGGCTGTAAGCCTGGGGTGGCCAGGGTTTGCTGTGACCCATGCTTTCTGGGAGAAGTGAGTGGTTTTTCCTTTGCTTGTGGAGTTGTTTCACCACTTACTTCTCCTTTATTGCTCTTGACCAGAGATTAGAGTGTCAGTTACTTCTTATCCACCACCTGTATACTGAAAAGCTTATGGAGAAAGGCAGGATGACAAGGGTTTAATGTTTTGAACTTCCTTATGTGCTTGCCCCCTAATCTCAGAAGCTAAAGAAACTTGCAAATATGCCTCAGGAGAGTGCTCACGGTGACTTGTCTGGACAGTTGGTTCCCCATGCTCCCTGTTCAAAGTTGAGTTTTCAGAGTTGAGGGCTTTTCAGTGAGTGTGGCCAGGGAGGTGCCTTTGAGCCGTTGGATGAGATTCAAACCCCTCCTGGTAAGCATGCTAGTGGAGGTGGGCAAGCTTTCCAGTCTTTGGATAGTCTAGACACTTGGATTGGCATCAGTTACCACGTTGGTTCCCAAGATTTGCACATCCAAGAATGGAACAGATACGAAAGTGAGAAGGTCTTCAGGGAATGTTTGCAGTTGTATTTGGGATAGATGTTAGTCATTGAGAGAATGGGAGACCCTTGGGAGAATGTATGTACTAGAATGGGACAGATGTTAGCCAATGAGAGAACTAGAAGGCCTTGGGGGATCCAGTTTGTACACTGGAATGGGTCTCCTACTGGCGAGAGGCTGTCCAGTAAAAAGCCTGACTCAAGGCTATAGTAGTAGAAGAGAGTTTGGAACAAAAGATAGGTCTCAAGTACTTGGATTTTTTTTTTTTTTTTAACTTCTGTGTAAAAATAGGAAGAGGGAAATGGTGAGGAAGAGGGACTGACTCACAGGACACTGATGGTGTGTAGCTGGCCTGACACTTATTCTCACAGCACGATGAAAATGTCAAGAGTACACAGGGAAGGCTGGCAGCCAAGCAGGGCAGAGTAGGAGGGAAAGTGTAGCATCTATCACTCAGAGTCACCGTAGGAAAGAACATGGCGGGAACCCTATGGCCACCATCTCCTGAGGTTCCCTGTTTGTCTCCCCAGTGCCCATTGACCACTCAGACCTGGTGGCTGACTTGCTGAAAGAGCTCTCTAACCACAACGAGCGTGTGGAGGAGCGGAAAGGTGCACTTCTGGAGCTGCTCAAGATCACCAGGGAGGACAGCCTGGGCGTGTGGGAGGAGCACTTCAAGACCATCCTGCTGCTGCTGCTGGAAACTCTAGGGGACAAAGATGTAGGCATTTCCATGGCCCCTTCCACATGATGCCTTTCCTGATCAGGGCTGACTAGCTTTCCTTTGGGTTTCGTGCCTGGCTTACACCAAATCAAGTATCCATCCAGTTTCCACATAGCACTCGCTAGCCTGCAGCAGCCACATCGGCTCACATGTGCACACCCAAGTCCCCCTGTCCCTGGGTGTACATCAAACCAGTGAAACACCTTTCTGAGTCTAGCTACTTCACACAGATGTTGCCCAGACTCCATTAGTGTAGATGGTAGCCTTCCAGCCTTCATTTCCACAAGAGTTTTACTTCTAGCTCATGCGAATAAAGAAATAGAGATGTTTATTTTTAATTTTTTTTAAGTTGCACATGCCTTTAATCACATGTACTCGGGAGGTAGAGGCAGGTGATCTCTGTGAGTTCAAGGCCAGCCCAGTCTACAGAGAGAGTTCTAGTACAGTCAGGGCTACACAGTGAAACCCTGCCTTGGTTGGGGGGGGGGGATTTTTAATAACTAATGTCACATGCAGCATATGTGTAGACAGCAAAGGACAGCTTGCAGGAGTCACTTCTTTCCTGCCTCCATGTGAATTTTTGGGATTAAACTCAAGTCATTGAGCCATCTTGCCTGCCCAGAGTTTATTTTTTTTAAAGACCTTATTAAGTGCTGCCTTTCATGAAATTTTGTCTTAGTTCACCCTGTGCCTGTTAGAGCTAATGTTAGCAGGGCAAATCACAGGTTCCCAAGATGTGTTAATAGTTATAAAACAAAACCTTCAAAAAAAAAAAAAACTTTTGTGCTGGGACAATGAATGATACAGACCAGGCTTTGTAGCATGCCTGGGCTGTGACTATACCTGGTACTTAGTAGCTAACATCGGTGGAAGTGAGTATAGATGGGGAAGGTGATCCAGTCTTCCTCCTACCTGTGGATCAGGCCCCTAACACAGAAATGGGAGGGACTACCTGGGATTAAACTTCCTACGTAGTGGTCCATTTTTCCACATTGGTTTTTCATGGCATAACAGACACAGCTGGAGCACAGGGCTGGGAGGAGTTCCAAGAAACTAGTGTAGTATGAGGTCATAGGCCAGACCCAGGGTCACAGTGGTGGTGACTGATGGCAGCAGGAAGGGGAGGAGGGAGAGAGCAGTAAATGCTGCCCTGGAATTGTTTCCTAACTCTTGGGATTAAAGGTCTGGTTTAGTGTAAGTAAAGATGGGGAATGTACTGCCTATGGAGGCAGTTACACTTGGCCGGGCCCTGGGGAGACAGGATGATGTCATGCAGAGGGCAGGTGCTTTCTGTGTGCATTTGCACAGTGCAAAGTTGAGTGACAGGGAATCAGGATGTGCTTCTTGGCTCTGTTTGCAGTAAACTCCGCTCTCTCTTCTTGAGATTAGGCGTCTGTTTGGAATGGCTTTTCTCCAGACACATGACTTGGGCCTTAACAGCTTGAGGCCTGTTGCATGGGTGACCTCATCACCCAGAAGGTCAGGAACAGACACAGGTCTCCAGCTGACCTCAGAGAGTTCCCAGCCTGGGAGGTCCTGTCCCTGTGCATGTTCCACAGAAGGATGACTCATGAACCCAAGCTTCCATTGAGTCTAGAAAGGCTAGTGAACTGACCATGAACTTAGGTGTGCCATCCTCGTTTGATCTGCAGTATTGAGTTCATTCTAGAAGCCTTTTCCTGCCTCTCCAGGGGCTGGGTCCTGAAGATGTCACCATGCTTCAGTCCCTACCCTCTTGGAATTGACTGTCTAGGAAGCCCATGTTGAGTAGACTTTTGTCATCCATGTAGAGAGGCCAGTAAGAGGCCAGACCACCTGGAACAGGTCCCATGCATGCTATAGGCATGGACAAGGGCCACATACTATTTGGTGACATTTCTTTTCCTCACACACCTAGCACTCTATTCGAGCTCTGGCACTGAGAGTTTTACGGGAGATTCTGAGAAACCAGCCAGCAAGATTCAAAAACTATGCAGAACTGACCATCATGAAGACTCTGGAAGCCCACAAAGACTCCCACAAAGAGGTAAGGTAGCCCTGTGTCCATGTCCTAACAGGACTGGATGGAGGAGGGCAGGACCCAAGATGAATGTTCAAGCTTATAGTCTTTCCCTTCTAACTCAGCTGGGTTATATGGAGTAAAATTCCTACTGGTGACATCAGAGCTGAGGAACTACATGTCTAAGATGCCCACAAAATGTCCCTGTGGTTCCCAGGTCCCAGCATCCCCACTGCCCTCTAGGGAACAGTCAGGCTACATCTCTGTGGCTTGTACATGTGGGTATAGATGATGGGCTTTCAGCAGTCACTGGCCTGTTGCTTGTTGGTGTGTGTGTGTGTTGAGCCCCTGTGGTTCCCTACTCGGTAGAAAGGCTAGAGACCTATGGAGTGTAAGGAACTGTCCTCAAAGTGAGTCCAGGGCTAGATACATGGTTTAATTACTTGGTAAAGTACCTGTTATGCAGGCATGAGTACCTGGTCCATCTCCGGAATCCATGTTAAAAAGCCAGTAGCCCAATACTGTGTAGAAAGAGGTATATCCATGGGATTGCTAGCCTACTCAGAAAGCTGGAGCAAACTAGACCATATCTCAAGAAGGGGGGGATGGGGAAAAAGATGGGCAGCTCCTGAGGAATGATACCAGAAATGGATGGACCTTTGGACTGTGTGCCTACACACACACACACACACACAGAGAGAGAGAGAGAGAGAGAGAGAGAGAGAGAGAGAGAGAAGAGAGAGAGACAGAGACAAGGCCAGTAACACCCTGCATCAACAGACTCATGGAAACCAGAATGGTGGGTTTAGAACTGGAGCAAACTCAAGATGTCGAAGAGCAGGTATGAGCCCACCATGACGGCTTGTCCAGTGCAACCTCTATGGTTCTGTATAACTATTGTAAGAATGTTGTAGATGAGGGCTTATGAGTAGAGAAGTTCTTACATTAACAAAGGAGACGAGACCCTGAGGATAGTTTTTCTCCTGGTCATGGTTTGGCTGCTTGGACAGTTAAACTGTTTTGACCTCCTCAGATCATCATCTGGAGAAGGACTGTCTGTGTCTCTCCCTGCTGGACTCATACAGTACACCACACATAGGCTCTAGGAACATATCCAACAAGTGACTGAGTCTCTAAAACCTGGCTTGGTAGCATGATGGTGACACTCACATTTGACCAGAAGGCTTTCCATTTACAGCAACTCACTTGAGCATGTGAACCAGACGGGCCTAACATATGCTCAATGCAGATGAGGAAGAAAGGGTCCAAAATAGCCTGCCCAGCAGTTCATAGCAGAACAAGTATGGACCAGGTCTTGAGTCTCTTATGAGGGACAAGTTATCTTGCACCAACTTTGTTTTTTAAATAACTTGTCCTTAGAATCAATGATGAAAAAATGAAGTGAAATTGGTGTAGGATCCGGGTATGTTCAACCAGCAGTTTGGATTCCAAAGTGACTATAGATGCAGTCAACTCAAAATTGTAAACTTAAACACTAGGAGTGAGAGTGTGTGTGTGTGTGTGTGTGTGTGTGTGTGTGTGATTTTTTTTTAGTTATACTTTGCTTTGTGTACACACGTGTATGTATGCACTTGTGGAGATAGAGGTGAGTTTTATCAGAAATCAGTTCTTTCCTTCCATCATGTAGAACCCAGTGAGTCAAGTTCAGACCATCAAACTTCAGCAAGCACCTTTACCTGCTTGACCTCTGCTCTTTTTTAAAACTCAATTGTGTAGTTCTCAAGCATGCACTTTGTAGCTAACAATATTAAATATGGCAATGTCAAAAGGTTGGTCACACCTGACAGGTGATAGTAGCTGTTTTGGTGACAAAAGACAGGCTTGAAATGAGATTAAAGTGAGCTAAAGGGGCTGGAAAGATGGCTCTGTGGTTAAGAGAATTGGCTGTTCTTCCAGAGGACACAGGTTAGATTCCCAGCATCTATATGACAGCTCTCAACCATCTGTAATTTCTGTGCCAGGGAATCTGAGACACACTTCTGACCTTTTAGGGCACTAGGCATGGCATGGTGCACATGCAGGCAAAATACCATCCACAGACATTTTTATTATTAAATGTCTAATTAAGCTAATATAATGTTTGAGCACTCACTATCCAGCTGGAGACTGCCTTTTTAAACTGGGCGTCCCAATATTGAAAAATTTTACAGTGGACTCTTAAATATAAGTTGAAATTTACTATTTTATTTTTGTTTTCCTTGAAAATGGTTTAGAAAGTATGAGGTTCTCTTAAATCGCCTAGGAAAAGAGCGAAAAGATCTGCTTCAGATACATTTCTCAGTATTCTGTCAGCATGGGAGTCCTGTATCCGGAAGGTGCCATACTGCCATCACAGTGACCTGAGAGTGCCATCAGAACATAGTGTTCTGAGGTCTATGTTGGCAGCCCTCTCTGCTTTGCATGTCTGGGCTCACCTTGACTCTCTCTATGCCCTTGCTGCTTCCTCCTGCAACCTCAGGCAGTCACGTGCCCAGGAGCAGCTCAAGCACCTGTATGTTTAGGTTTAGGGTTTGGTTTTCATTTTTCTTGAAAATTCTTCAAGTCTTCTTGGGTGTGTGTGTGTACGTGTACACTTATGTGTGTGCACATGTATGTGTATATGTGGAGGCAAGAAGTCAGTCTTGGGTGTTCCTCAAGTACTGTCTCCCTTTTCTTTTGAGACAGAATCTCTCACTGACATGGAACTTGACCAGTAGGCTAGGCTGACTGGCCAGAGAAGAGAACCCCAGGGATATGCCTGTCCCCTAATCCTGTGACCAAGTGCCACTATACCTGGCTTTTTTATTTTTAATGTGTGTGTGTGCGCGTGCGCGCGCGCGTGCGTGCACACGCGCGTGCAGGTATGCTCATGCCTCATACATGTAGGTGGAGGTCCATGGAGTTTCAGAAGTCACCTCTCTCCTTCCACTGTGGGCTCCAGGGATCAAACTCAGGTCATCGAACTTGCACAGCGAGTACTTTTACTTGTTTGAGCCATCTCTCCAGGCCCATGCCTGGCTTTTTTATGTGGGTTCTGGAGATTAAAGTTAATTCTGTGTGAAGCGTTACCAACTGAAGCCCCTCCTTCCCCCCTCTCCCCATTTCAATCAACTTCTCTCCATTCCTGGTCTCTGATTCTCAAGGTTCTTCTGAGCAGTTAGTCCCACATGCAGTTTCTGTGGTGGCTGCACTGGTAGCATCATTTTTGTTGTTGTTGTTATATTTTCTACATTTAATACTTGCAACTCCAGATATGCTTAGAAGGGATCCATGGTGCTTTTAGGTTTCTGTGTCCATCATCCAAAGGCAAAATCTGTTTGCCTGTCTGGTCAACACTTCCAAAGTGTGCACATTCCAGGGGTCCTCTCCCAGAACTACCCACTCTGAAGAAGGAGGTGTTTTTACATTCCCCAACAAATCCCAGGCCTTAGTAGGAGATGAACACACAGCCTGACATGCTCACACAGAACTGCTTCAAGAGACTGGAACACCAGCTGTCTTCCCTGCATAGGGTCAGTGTCTCACACCATGGCTCTGGCTGTGGAATTGTAGCAGTGAAGGACAGCTTCTAGAAACACAACATTTTGAAAGTGAGATATGTCTGAAAAGCTACTAGAGGACTAAAGAGATGACTCAATAGGCAAAGTGGCATAAGAACCTGAGTTTCAAATCCTCAGAGCCCATAATACCCAGGCTTAATAGCATGTATATGTGCTCCCAGCGCACCTATGGGATGATGCAAGGCAGAGACAGGAGAATTTCTGTAAGTTCACAAGCCAGCTAGGCTAGCTTATACAACAGCAAACTGTAAGAGAAACCCTGTTGGAAACAGGTGGTGGAAGGCAGGAGTGATACCTGAAAGTTGTCCTCAAGCTCCCTGTGTTCACTGTGACACAGTGACACAAACACACACAGAGATGGGAGAGGGAGACAGAAAAAACACACAAAGGGGGAGGTGGGGACAGAAAGCAAGGCAGAGTGATACACACACACACACACACACACACACACACACACACACACAATGCATGTGTTTTATAGTTTAAGGGGGAATGCTGGAGACATAGCTCAGCCGTTAAGAATAAATTGCTGCTCGACGGATCTCTGTGAGTTCAAGACCAGCCTGGTCTACAGGAGCTAGTTCCTGTACAGCCTCCAAAGCCACAGAGAAATCCTGTCTCGAACCCCCCCCACCCCCCCACCAAAAAGAATACTTGCTGCACTCTTGCAGAGGACCTAGTTTCTTCTCTTAGCATGCACACAACCATCAGTAGCTCCAGTTCCAGGGGATCCAACGACCTCTTCTGATCTGAGGGCACTGTATGCATATGGTGCATATACATACATACATACATACATACATACATACATACATACACACACATACATACATGCAGGCAAAATGGTCATGCACATAAATTTTTTAAGATTTACAAAAGGCTATTATTCAAAATTGGCAAGGGAGGACTGGTGACAAGATGGCTCCTTTCCTTATCCATGAGCCAAGGTTAGCTGTTGTAGGTTCTTCCCAAAAGAGCTGTGAGGGCAGGACATGTTTCTGACACACTGAAAATGCCACCTGCCTACAGGCAGTAACTTCTCTCTGAGCCGCCATCCACAGCTAATGACAAACTGCAGAGACAGGGACAGGTGGGTTAAGAGCCAAGCTCAGAGCTTTATTGTAAACGCTGGTGTTTGTCATCTTAGATACAGTCCTTTCATAGTTCTGAGTAAGTTCCTATCTGAGTAGACAATGCTGAGTTTTTGTGCCTGTAACATTTATGTAGTTCCTGTGTTTTGTGTTGGTGTTTGCATTCAGAAAACACCTGAAAGGGCTGAGCTTGATACAGTGAGTGACCTTTATGATAATTTCATTCATGTGAACACTCTTCTCCTTTTCCATCTTTAGTCTGTTTTCGGGAGCTGATTGAGAATCTCTCCTTTGACCAGTCAGTAGAGGGTTTAATAAGAGAACTGACAGCAGGGTGTCAGTTCTGAGACTGTGGGAAGACAAACCTGCATATACA